AATTACGTAGATGTCAAGAAATGTACGTTTTTTGAGTCTAAGCGGAGCATTGGACGAACGCATTGGTTTTATAATGTTGTTTTTTTTATTTTATCTATAAACAATTTTTCCACCGGCAATTTTGATCAGGTTTTCAAGTTTAGCACTTTTCCGAAAGGAAATCTGATTGGGGTGGGTACTTTTAGGGGGTGATTTTAATATTATCCCTGCCGTTTGCACAAACTGCTTTTTGCAAAGTGAACCCACCATGTGGATTGCGCAAGATTTCCCGGGGGAAATTTGGGTCGCGGTCCTAAAATGATTGAGAACCACTGGACTATACGAATGAACGAGTCGTATAATATATTAATATGACATAGGTATGCAAACATATAATCGTTGGTCTTATGAAATACGGATAAGATACTGTGTGTTCTGCTGTTTCCCAATATATTCTGTGACTATTAATAATTCATTTATTAGCGATCGAACGATTTCCGACGATACGCAATCAGATTATCAGAATAATAAGAATCAGATAAAAATTAAAAACAAGTTTGGAATTTAAAAATTACTAATTATTTAGAAACTATGAGACTAAGTAAATTGTTCTATTTTATGTAAAACATATTTTAATAAGTAATTTTTCGTTAGTAATAATTTTGAAAAATACATGGGAGACGATCGCCCCCATTACCCTCCCCCCCTTCCGTGGATCCGTGCCTGGACTGTAGTAATTTTGTTTATATGTATATATAAAAAAAAAAAAAAACAATACGCAAGAACAAGTAAAATCTTGGCCTCCGAGGTTAAGAATAACTGTATACAGAGTGATTTTTTTTTATCATGAACAGGCAATTATCTCGGAGGATTTTAAGTGAATTGATTTTTGTTTTTCTCTAATCATTATGGAATCGTTTAAGATTAATTTAAAAAATAAAAACTCCATTTTTTGAACACAGATTTGAATAGAGCATATTTTTCTAGACATTTTTATACGCATAACACTAATATAAGATTTACCGTTTATGAGTTATAAATTTATAATAGTTTAAAATTTAGATCGTAGAAGTAGAGAAGGGTAATAAATTGCCTATGTACAACCCTTCCCCACTCTTCCAGTCTAAACTGTAAACTGTTAACTCGTAAACGGTAATCTTTTATTAGTGTTATGCGCATCAAAATTCCTAGAAAAATATTCTCTATTAAAATCCTCCGAGACAACTGTTGGTTCATGATAAAAAAAAAAAAAATCACCCTCTATGTAACCGATTATAATTTGTTGTTTGGTAATAATGGTTTTACTGTGAATAGCTATTATTGAATTATACGATACTACGCATTTCGCATGATCTCAGTTCGCGGAATTCCCTCAAAATTTCAAACGACTCAAAACTGTTGACGGTTTCTGTTACAGTTGTGTACGTGAGGGGGAGGGGGTATTTGACGGAGATCTGACAAATGCAACGACTTTTGTTCCGTTCTCTTGTTTGTTTACGGTTTTAGATTCCGAGCAGAACGAGAAATGTATTGGTTTTACAATGACACGTTTTTTTTTTTTTTTTTTTTTTTTTTTTTTAATCTGTAAACATATTGTTATTTTTCCTACCACTATATGTTTTGCTCCGATTTAAAATGATAGCACTTTTTCTGAAATTAAATCTGAATGGGGTTGTACTTTAAAGTAAGGAGGTAATTTTTTGATTTTCTCAATAGAGTTTTCCCAATAAATGGAAAAAACCGAGAAAAAAACATGGAAAACCGGCAAAATTGGTAGAATATTAAAAAAAATATATAATGCACATGCAATTACTTTACCATGATAATATGACATAAGTATTGTCGGCAAAGCAACACTATCAACCGGACTCTACTCAGGATCGCTGTTTGTTGGCAATCGTTGGTTAATCGTTGCATATATATTCAATTTCCACTCTACTACCTTCCCGAATTCTCTCTCACCCACGTGCGAAGTATGTCCGTTTTTGTTTTTCTTTCTGATCGGAATATATTAAGTCTATAGCCGTTTCGAGCTCCGAATCCGGATTGATCCGGTGAAATAAACTTTATTGCAATCCGTCAACCCGGGTTTTGGTTATCAATCCGGAATATTAGTATCAATAGTATAAGTCAATTAATAACATGATATAATCCGTTTAACTGTCCCAAGTTTTCGCGTTTGATGGGTTTCAGTTGTACCTAACTAGTTTTAGACGAAGAGATTGACGGATTAAATCCAAAATCCGGATTACGTAATACTGTAATCTGGCTTCCGGATTTGTCAAAATATTGTTCAGCATTAGTCTAAAACATTGTGAAAACTAAACATAAAAATCGGTTTTTACTAAATCCTAGATAGTATTGTTTTAAAAATATGTCTATATTTTGAAACAAAATGTCGGTGTTACAAAACGTTAATTTTCTACAGTTTGTTGAAGTATTTAAACTTGATACTTCGGAGCAAGATTTTCGGTACACAATATAAAAATATAAAAGAGAATCTAAAAGAAGGAAAATTATAGCAATAATAACGAGATAAAAAGGCTGCGTGCGTCTGCTCGGGTGCGGACGCGCCTTAACAGGCCAACCGGTCGCGATGCCGAAATCCGCGCACCTCGACGAAAACCGCGCGACGTTGCGCCGATCCGTTTACATACAGAGCGATTCTTTTATCGCGGACCGCCGATGATCGATTCAAACAGTATTTTGTCCGGAAACGAAGGACTAAACGCGGTTTACGAAAAAGTGAATTAATCGGACGAAGCGTTTCGACCAGACGACTCCATCTGTACGAAGACCCGACGGTATTATTTCGTTTCAAATACGCTCCGACCACTCTTGACGATCGTTTTCAATAATCTGCAAAAACATTCATCGACAGTCAAACGTCACAATTTCACCGAAGAAAAACTCGAATATCGTTTAGCGATTAATTTAAAATAATAAAAAGACGTCCTTGGATAATGGGGACGGGTGCAGCTATGCTATATAGGTAATTTAATGTGTATCTGTTAGGAACGATTAACTATTGCTAACGAAAAAACAATTCTGAGCAGAGTTTAGTCGATAGTGATGTTTCGTCAACAATACGTAAAATAATTAAATAGACATTATATATTATCTTTAATAATGGTTTTTTATTGTACCGATTTTCCCGTTTTTCCTAAATTTTCACCAGTTTTCCCGTGCTTTTTCACATTTGCTGAGAAAACTATACCGAGAATCGAAAAATCAACTCTTTCAAGTACCTTCCCACACCGATTTCCTTTCAGAGAAGGTGCTACACGTAAAAATCGGAGCAAGTTCTCTCGTAGAAAAGTTGTGCACAGAAAAAAAAAAAATAAATAATAAACATGTTTCTAAATTTGCTCCACTCAGAATCTAAAATAATAATTAAATAAATAACGTTTATTTTTTATTTTTATATCTATAAATATCGCGTCTTGTTCAACCATACATATATTTTTCATTTTTTACCGTATTACCATGTATTATAATACATCTCTTGGTACTCTTGGATACTCTTGGTACTTTTTTTTACTATAGTATGGTTATCCGTAGCTGATATTCAACCGAACATCTATTCGATAATCGGTAAAATAATGCGATAAAAACGGCCAGAAATTGAAGTCTAGTAAAATTACGACGAAACGATTGTTTTCATAATATAAATTCTGTACGCGCGCATCGAGATTTCCGGACAAAAATGGCGCTCTTATCTCGGACCCGCGATCGAAAGGGTCGGGGCTATTGACGTTGAAAAAGAAAAAAAAAATCGCTTGAAACCCTCCGGGAAAACGGCCCCGCGGTCCGCGATAAAAGAGTCGCAGCCCGGCGAGTCGGCTGTCCTCGGGTACCGAAAAAGACGAAAAAACGTTACGATACGTTTTTTCGCAATACAACATTCGCCCGTTTTATAGCGTGCGGGTACGGGTTGTAGACGATTTTTTATTTATTTTTTTTTGTGATGCAGACGATTAGAGGCAATTATCGTTTTTTTTACAACGACATTATTTCGGACCGAGACTTGAAAAGTTTTCGACGGCCACGTCGTTGGTGTACACACGCACACTGACCTGGCCAGCGGTAAAACACGCGGCGACCCGAATCGATTATAACGTCATTATTGCGCATATAATATAAGGGACGGTTTGTTTTTTTGTTTTTTTTTAATTGTTCGAACAACATAAAAAACGTAATCCGCGATGACCGTTTCCTAAAATTCCGCGGGGCGGCGCGAAAGACGCGTATTCGTTCTGACGGGGGCAGAGCTGGTTCAAAGGGGAGGGAGCTTAGGGGAGGGGGGTTGTAGTGCCGAGCCGCAAGTAGAAAGAGGCCGCACAATGTGCGTGTGTGTTTTTTTATGACCCTTTTTTTTTTTTTGGGCTTATTTATACTAATATTACAATATTATACGAATCTTTTGCTGATGACCTTTTTTTTTTTTCTTTTGCATATCGGTCTTTAGGGTTATGGAGGCATAACCCTAAATCCGGCCATGACCGGAAGAATATTCGTTTTCCGGGGAGGAAGGGAGGGGGGGGGGTTAATCCGCCCTTTGCCTTATTTTACCATTAACGTTGAGCCATATAGTCAACGTGTCGGTCAATCGGTGGGTACGGACTTGGTAGTACTCGCTTAATTTCGGTTTTCAGAACGAAATCGCCTATTGATAAAACGGAAAGAGCACATTTATTCCGGATGGGCGAGACGACGCGTTCATTTTTTTTTTTTTTTTTTTATCATTTCTCGAAACGAAACGGTCCTCGTTTCTAAATTATCAACTGTTCGCGGAATAATCATAACTGTAGAACAATAGGAAAAACGCGCGGTCTCGCTCTCCGGAATGTACGTAATAAAATGCCGTCCTCGTTTGATTTCATAACGGGCGATTTTACGCCGGAATCGAAATTGAGCGAGTACTGCGCGGTCCGCGTAAAGAAGATTTCGCATGTACCGCCCGTTAGTTGGCCCGGGACGGCGCACACGGGTGTGACGCGTCCTCCTCTCGGGGGACCGTTCTTTCGTTCGCGTCTTCGACAAATGAACCGGAATTCCGAAGTATTGAAAATCTCCCCATTTCGCCGACACGCGAATCGGTCGCGTTGCTGTTTTCGAATCGAAATGTTATCGTCGCGATGCAATTATTGTTACCAACGAAACTCCCCGGTGCCGCGGTCGCGACACGAGCGTAAGTAAAACGCGTGCATTTAGTACGATCGAAAATACAAAAACTACCGACGGTAACAATAGGCGATCGACGGTTGGACACGTGTCCAGAAGAAAGTGTATTATTATGTCCACGAACTGAGTTTGGCGCAGTGACAGTTTAAAGAAAACCAGTGTGATCCCCGCACAAACGGCGGCCGAAACGAGTTGTTTTAACGTGAGCTGTATAGTGGGATGGAGTCATGCATAGGCGTACTTCGAGCAACGTACGTCACAGGTGAGTATTAACAAAATAAAATGTTGTCGGCGACGTGGGAATGAACCCATTTTTTTTCTCTCTTCTACGGATGATGATCTCGTGCCTCGTTAAGTGACACTACGTGTAACACTACAGAGACTAGAGCAAGAGTCGGTAATTAGTTTCTAAGGGGGGGGAGGGGTGCGCGGAAAATTCGAAAACAAATTTTCAGAAGCCATTTATTTTTTATAGTAAAAAAAAAAACGGAGGGAAGGGGTGGGGAGGAAATACCCCTTCTCCTTGGATCCACCACCGCTGTACAACGCTACCACGTCTACAACAACTTCGTTTCGCGTTTCACTGCACGTTCATAATGTACAGACTTTATTTATTTTTTTTTTTAATTTCAACTATAAATGCACGTTTTTGGTTTTCACGTTATTTTTCGTAATTTGTAGACATTGCGAGTGGTTTTTCTTGAATTTCGTATTTCAAAGGAAACATTTACATTTTTAAAAATCGTTGTTTGATTACGAACGGAGGGTTTTTGTCGTGATTAAATTTCCGTCGTACAGGTGTTGCAAAAGCTTTTACAGATAATCCGCCGTATGAACGCTTATCGTACGATATTTTTTCTAGCAATATTGAAATTGTGTTATTTTTTTTAGTTCTAGGGCATTAAATCGTTTTATTGTATTTATATTTTTTTTCTTATTCATTGTTGTTATATCCTGTGTCTCGCCATGACCGATTTTTAAAATTTGTTTACGTTTTTAATTACACAATCAAAAATAAAAGTCCGGCTGATAAAAAACAAACAAAAAAAAAAAAAAAAAAATGATCGAAATCGGATTACTTTACGAGGCAGAAGCAGAAGAGTTTTTCAACAAAGAATCGAGCGAAAAAGAAACGGTAGTACGCAGGTCCCTTAATATAAAAATTAAAACTATCCAAAGTTAAGAACATGGTTAATATTGTAAACTTTACAAATTACTAAAAATCCCGGAAGTACTTTACTATAAACGTTTTTTAATAGAATTCCCCGCGAAACAAAAAGAGCAGATACTGGGGGATGGGTGCGCCCGCTGTTTCATGTGGGTAAGTGGGAAGGTGGGATACATAAGGTTATTTAATTTATATGTAACCAGCGATAAACCATTGCTTACAAAAAACGATTCGGAGCGAAGTTCGGTCAAACATGTTTTTAAAGGTCGTAGTATTTATGATTTTCGTCAAAATTTGATTTTAAGATTTATTAAAAAAAAAAAAAATTATTACATTGCGCTAGTTTGTTTTTTCACCAATAAGTACAGTCGTACTTATGAACCTTCTGTCAAATTTTCAAGCATTTCCATACCAAATAAAAGTTACTTATAAAACTCGCAAAATTAAAATTTTATCAGAACAAAATTTAAAATTATAAAAGTATTATTTTCATACATTTTCCCATTATTTCTACGTATCTTTCGGTTTTGCTCAATTATTAAAAAAAAAACCCAAAGAAAATCAAAAACCTAATTTTTTACTAATTAGATTAAAAATGCAACAAATAATTTCACTTGTCGTTTGTTTATCGAAGCAATATTTTTTTGTAGAAGACGTAAACTGTACAAATTCTAGCGTCGTAAATTATTATCTGTTTTCATTTTTCGTCATTTTCCGGGTTTTCTCAATTATAAGAATAACTACGACAGAAATTAAAAAAAAAAAAAATTACATACTCACTAACTAGATTAAAAGTGCTACAAAATCGATCTCTCGTCGATTATCGATTGGAGCAATTTTTCCAGTAAAAAAATATCGCGAACGAAAATTTAAATCAACGCAAACAGTAACACCGTAAATATTTCCCGTTTCGCCTATAATTTTCTTTCGAGTTTTTCTCAATTATTTCGGAAACCCCGAGGAAAATCCAAAAATGACCTCTGTAAAGTACCACCCTAGTTAAATTTCCTTTCAGAAAATATACTGCACTCGAAAACCGAACGAGATATCTGGTAGAAAATTTGTTCGCAGATTAAACAAAAAAAATTAACCAGCATTGTAAATTCAATACATACGTTCCGAATCTAAAATCGAGTATATTAAATTATAAACGATTTCGCACACACGGACAGTAATAACTCGAAAATCGTGTTTTTCTTGTGACGTCAGTGTCCTATTCATGGGCACGAGATATCCCGAAACGGTTTGTTCGAAAAACATTTCCGTACGGTGGCTCAACTCGTTTTTTATCTAACTATTTCTTCGATTTCTACCGTTCCCTCGGTTCGTTAAATCCGGAACAATTTTCTGTTTGCGATGATCCACTCGTACTATGGTCGCTCTCGGTACAACAACGCCGAAATCCCGCCCGTCCCGCGGCCGGGGTCATTAATTTTCGCCCGCGGAAGCCGTTATATTTTACACCGGGTACCCTACCGCAGTGGCGCAACCAGCGTTTTTTGAAAGGGGTGTCACGTGTATATATTAAAAAAATACCCGTCTTTCAAACAGATTTGTACTACTGAAACGCGGACGTAAGGGGCCGTGCCACCGAACCACCGGCGATCGCATTCCATCATGTCCGCCAGAAGCCGCCAGCATTCGCTTTCGTGCGGTTGGCAAATACCGGTCGTTTCGAATTCGTTTTTCTCCGCGGCGAATTACGCCAATACCCGGGCCTACTTATTTACTCACCTGGGGGCCGTGGTGCAAAAGAAGTGTCGCCGTTTTCCGCGGTCGCCCACGCCGGAACCGATACGCGGACCTAAGCGGCCACGCAAACGCCCGAATTTTAACGATTTTCCCAAAAAGAGGACGCGAACCGCCGCGTATTATCTGCCGTCGGGCACGGACGGGCGGGTTTAAACGACTATTGATCACTACGACGGCGAAAATCACCTAATCGGAGGAGACGAATCAAGAAAAACCGATTAGCCGGCAATCGAACGAGTACCGTTCGGGCGGTCGGAATAAAATTGAAAATCGCTCCGGGGTGCCAGTTTTTTTTTTTTTGCCAAATTTTCTCCGATTTCGAAAAATGCGTACGTTATTTTCTACATTTCAATTGCAAACGCCTTAACGATACGATCGTCCAGCCGATCTACTACCCGACACCCATTTAGGCGGGAAGGGGCGGACACGATTCAACGGAAATAATGATAACTCGTTGTCAATTCGTGATTTCCACGATAAAATATGTTTTTATCGACGAACAAAACCGTAAAAACATTATACGGGCCGCATTGCACTCTCGATTTTTTAAATTCCGGTTTCAAACAACGCGAAAAATAATAAGGCTTGAAATTCACTTTTAAAAACACTCACTAAAAAATGTTTAGAGCGAAATATTGGAAAACGAAGAGTTCAATGCGCGTCCTGCAGAACGTTCCCCTGTATAACGAAAAAAATCAAGTTTTGTTCGATTCTACGTCGATTTTTATTTATAATTTTGTTTTCTCATCCGGGATCCATTACTAATGTTCATCGAACGCCCGCAGCATCGCTTGTACGTTACCCACTCGAGTGGTTTCTCCGGACCGTGTCGTTGTACGAGTCGAGAAATCGCGAAAAACTCGAAAACCCTGCTGGCGTATTAACTAACACGGTTTGTCGGCCGAGGGGGCCCGGGTAGGGTCACGTCACGACGCACTGGGCGGATTGCCGACGGATCCGGGACCGTACACCTACGGGTATTCGCGTCGTACGAAATCCGTACTCCGGTGCACACTCGGTAGACACAACGACGACGACGACGACGAGAACCCACGGCCGGTTAGCTCGGCAGTAGAAATAAACCGGCGCGGCCGGACCGGATCCGGGCGTCCGGATCACCGCGCGGATTGAATGCGGATTACGGAACCGTGTTCCGGATCGGTCTCGACGCGTTGTCCGGCACGGCGCAGTCAGTACACCGCACAGCGAGTGCCTACGCCGTGCGCACGTGAACGGCCGTGTGGTTCGTTTGAATTTCGGGGCGATTATCACAAAATAACGATAACAACGGGGGAAAAAAACAAAATAAATAAAAAAAAACAATTAAAAACCACGGTTAATAGGTATAATTTTTTTTTTTTTTTTTCTTAAATATATATAAATGTTTTAACAAAAATATTTTATATACACATTTTTTTTTTATATATATAGGTATATAATATAATGACAATAATCTATACAGTGTGTTTTTTAATCGTCTGAATTCCATCTGGGTCACCTAGTGAGCGGTAACTATAGGAATAATGTCAAGGCCCGTAAAGTTACGTCGTTTTTTTTTTTTTTTTTTGTTAATTTTATTTTATCTTTTACCTACCTACTCGTGTGTGTGTAATATTACAGTTTATTTATTTTGGTTTTTTTCCTTTTTTTTCTGTCGTGAACCCGAGTCACAATAATATTAAAAAGTAATAAAAATAATAATAATAATAATAATGATAATAATAATAATTAATATAATAATGATAATAATAATAATAATAATAATAATAATAATAATAATAATAATAATAAACCAATCCGTTTGGCTTCACACATTGAGCAAAAAAACGTTTAGTCTAAATTTCATTCGCAAAAAAAAAAAAAAATCATAATAATAAAATAAACAAACAGGTAGGTAAGTCTTAATGTTAAGTTGTTTTTTTTTTTTTTTTTGGCTTTTGTTTTATTTTTATTTTTTTCCTATAGTTTTTATACATTTAACACATTATAATTTTCGTACAAACGGTTAAAAGCGTATTATTATTAGTTTTTATTCAACAAAACGGTGGACGCAGTGCGGTCAAACGAAACAACAAACATTATAATAATATCGTATATAAAAAAAAAAAAAAAAAAAAAAAAAAAA